TAGAACTGGACGCGGTGCGTTAATCTCTCATTCCATGGAACATACATTTTGAGGCGACCCAGCAGCTAATTCTAGTGTCTCTCTCCTTGCAAATAACCACTACACGTGTATTACAGTCAGCTGGGGACTGATGTTATGCCAAGTCCTTGTGATGAGAAATGTCACAATGGAATAATTAAATATTGGGGCTTTAGGGACAGTCACCGTGGAAATTGCCCTCCATGGCAGCTGCAACATTTATTAATAATTAAAGCTGTGCCTGCTGTGCTTTTCACTAAATTTGTTTCATTAATATTTTATTGTTTTAAAGAAAGAAAAAAAACCACCAGTGAGGGTGGGAAGAGAGCCTGTTGCCTAAGCAACAGCAATGCACTTCTTTGCAGTTATTTTTAAAGGCAGGTTGCTTCATTTAAGATTTGGAACCAATTATTGCTGCATTGCTTCAGGCATCCGGAAAGCTGCTTTTCTTTTTTTCATTTTCTTTATTTCTAATTGAAAGAGCAAAACAGTAGCTGGGTTAAGAGTTGTTGTGATGGTTGCTAGACAGGATCTATGACTGTGATGTGAAGAACGTCCCCATGCTGTCATCTCTCTTTGTTCTTCCCATGCCGTTCTACCTGGCCTTGCAAAACCCCACGGGCAACCAACCACTGCTCGCCCCCGCTTCTGCTTCTGTGCGAGACACACGGATGCTCCCTCTTCCTTTGAGCAGAAACAGCCGTGCTTGCAGTGGTGTCATCGGCGCGGGGCTCCCACTGCTGTAAGGGCACAGGCATCGCCTTTGCCACCTGCGGATGTCCCTTGCCACCTGCGGATGTCCCTTGCCACCTGCGGATGTCCCTTGCCATCTGCAGATGATGTTTCCTGGCATAAGCTGATTGCCCAGAGGGGTTGAGCAGGGATGTGCCCATGTGTCCCGGTCCTCCTTTTATGGAATGGTGCCACGCTTAGGCTTTTGTGCATAATCCGGTTGAAAAAGCAAGGGGGTGGTTGTCTTTTCTGAGGCAGTAGTTCTGGGTGGGAGGTACACCAGTGTGGGAGGCAGTGCCAGACTGGCTGCTCAGTAGCCTTGTTTGATGCAGTCAAGCTCGTGTCCCAAGAGACATGTAACAGGAGTCTGCAAAAGCTGAGGCCATTGGCACCGTTCCGTTGTTGCCACACAACATCTCAGTGAGTCTTTGGTTTTTGCTTCTCCTGGGCTAGGACTCCTCTGGGTTGGGCCCAGGCAGGGCCCTCTTTGCAAACAGCAGTAAGAAATGCCAGGACAGCAGGACAGTTACTCCAGCACAGCCCAGGGCCAGCTGCAACAAAGCCCTCATTGTGGAGGGGGTATTGGGCTTCTTTTCTAGGGGATACGATCGAGAGGAGAAGCAGAGTGACTTACCATCCGTCTCACAAGGGGACAAGGCTGGATAATCTTTCTTCTCTGCTTCCAGTTAAATCTACTTCCAGATAAAATGCTGCTAAGTGCCTTGATCCTCAGTTCCTCCTAAGTCTTTTAAGTGTTCGAGAATGCTGTTCTCTCACTGCAACACGGGAGATGACTTTATACGTATTTTCTTCTACTTTTTAGCAGTCTTACCTGTGTGTTTGACTGCCTCTCAGTACATGCTTATACGGTGCTTGATGCAATGGAATCTTAGTCTAATCCAGAAAGTAATAACCAGTTTTTTAAAATTTAGGATACTTTATCCATTCGAACAGCAGGTTGTCAGCTGTTTACAATGAAACTGGAAGGTAATAAGCAATTAAATGAAGGATCACAAAGAAAGGTGAATCACACTGATTTTTTTTAGAGAGATAGCGGGTGTAAAAGTGTATGAATACCTTGTTGTACCACTCGGTGAGGTTTTATTTGGGTTACAGCAACATGGAAACAACACGGATGGGCCAGTATTTCCTCTGTCCACTTCCTAACACAACAGCAATTTTGTCCATTTGTCCTGGAAACAGAAGGGGATGTGGATTTGCATGGCATGAGCATTTGTGCTGAAGACATCAGCTGAATGCTGTGAATGCTCAAATGCTCTTATTTATTTAAAAAAAAAAAAAGAAAAAAGAAAACCCAGCAACAAAAGAAAAAATGAAGTCCATTATCAGTGAGTGCATGAAACGTGCTGTTTCATTTCTACCGGCTGTACTGTTTTCCACGGGGCTTGCCTGTCTCCCAAGTTACTCATCTATGGAGGGTGGCGCTGTGTGTGTAGGGTTTTCCTGTGTTCATTTGAATTGTCCCTGCTGCTCGAGCGTTGGAAGAAGCTGGTCACAGCACAGTGCATCACGATCCTGTGCTTTTGGCGTGCTTGCAACAGCAATTACGTGACATATCTCAGGTTAGGCAGCTGGAGGAGAGACTATTAAGATAGTACATGTCTCTTGTTTTATTTTAAGATTAAATTGGAGTTTTGGTTATGGTGCTTCTCATATAGGCTGTGCAGTAAGGGAATATATCAAATGTATTCTGAAGAATTTGCTGTCTAAACAAACTTAGGACTAGGAAGGAGGAAAAGGGAGAATGCTGACTTCTCTGTTCCACAGAGAATTAAATCAGGGTATACCATTAGAAGACTTGGCTTTGCTAACTCAGGTTGGTTGTATCTTGCTAAAAATCATTAAAAATGAACAATCCCAAGTCCCCAAGCCATCAGTATTTAATTCCACTGGCTGTCTCTTAGGGAAATTAGGACTTTCCATGGAAACTTTATCTTCTGACAGATTTTATCCAATGTTACTTAGCTTAAAAACCTATCTGCCTTCACAGTTGAAAGCAAAATAGTGGCATGGTTATCCCACAGTGCATTTCCAATTTGTTTTTCTAGTGCTTTTTCTGCACTCTAAGAGCAAATGGTTGTGCTTTCTGAACACGCATTAGGTTAATTTGTGTAGTAAGGATGTGATAGCAGGAAGCCAATTGGACTTTTCTTTTTTTCCAGAGTGATAAGACACAAAATATGAAGTTATTAATACCTCACAAATGCTTCTCTTCATTTTTTTGTTCATTCAGCAGGTCGTTCTTCAGTCTTGCAAAGCAAAGAAGTGGGGTAGCAGTGCTGGAGATGAAGGGGATGTTTTTACTAACGCAGTTCAATACAGACAGGTCCTGTGATCCCGACTGCCCTAGCTTCTAGGCTAGCGAAACGCGGGAGGTGTTTCTGCATGCCATTCAGCCTTGCCTGGGAATTCGCTTCGTTTTCAGGGACTGAGCAATGAGGATAGGTCTTTTTCAGGTGCAGACTTTCAGGTATTAGGGGTTTTGGAGGCCATTAAGTACGATACGGAGGAGGAGTCTTCAGAAAATGCTCAGCACCTGACAGTATTGGGCATGAAGTGCAACAAAACGCTGCCTTCTTTCACAATGAGCTGCCGAATCTTGGGAGAGATGCAGTGTTTATCAGAGCAGATGGAGTACCATTTGTTACTCCTAACAAAAATTTAATGTGGCAATTCTAACTGCAATTTACTGCAGGGCTGCCTGCTGTCATTAGACACAGGAGAGCATCGCTCCGATGCTGAACCCAGACCCTTCTGTAAGGGCTGGCATGCCTGCCTGGCTTTCAGCGAGTGCACACCTTGCAGATAAAGTTGGGTTTTTCCCCTCCCTGTGAATGAATTGGTCTTTTCTCCCTCATAGCTTTTTATGGACAGTGTGGACTGGATGAGTCATCTGCAGTCTCGATTTAAAAGCTGGTAGACAGGGAAGGCTTGTTTTTTGTTTTGTTTTTTCCTTGTATTTATCTTGTTTCTTTTTTCTGCAGCAGTTTCAATGGGAGCTGGTTAGATTTCTGATGCAGTCTTGCAAGGCTGAAATAGTGCAATGCGGTCTTTTACTGGTGACCACCAGAGCATGTTACAGTAAGGTCTGCAAGATGAACCTCACAGACGGATCTGTGGTGGGTCTGGCTGCATCTCTGTTCCCTCTCAGGTTGTAGTACTGTTACATTTTTTTTCTCTGTTCTTGGGCCTTTTAACCTTTCTGTCCAAAGCTAGATGATGGGCTCTGTTGGACGGTGAGCCTATCTTACCAAGGCTTTATTGTCTTGTAGGGATCTCCAGTGCTTTGGGAGGGCTTCATCTTCCCTAGCATAATTGTTCAGTTTCCTATTTGTTTTCCCGTAGACCCTATGGTTTTAGTCCAGCAAGTGTCCTAACAACTGGTTCATCTTCAGTACCTGTGATTGCAGAGTAACTTTGTACCAGTCACCGGTGATGCTGTCTTTTCCTGAGGTCTGTCACTGTTCTCTGGCTCCTAACCTTGAAAGATCCAGTAGCCGATGGCTGCTGCTTCTCCGGGTTGTACACGCTACCACATCAAGATGCACGGTCACTGGGCACGTGGGCGCCGATGGCTGCTGCTTCTCCAGGTTATACACGCTACCACATCAAGATGCACGGTCACTGGGCACATGGGCATCTTACCCTGGAGATCTTTGTAACGGATGCAAAGACTCAAACAAGTCGTTCTTCTAGGAGCTTGCCCCTGGCTCTTGGAGAATTTTCTAGGCTGGATCATGGGATGCCCACAACATAACTTGATTAAGGTGTGTTAAGCATTTCAAATCAGAGAGTCTATCTCTGCTCAAAACAAGAGATGGTCAGTAAAAGCGGATTTCTAGCCCGTTGTATCTTGAGTAGGGGGACCTGGTTCTGCCATGAGGAGTTGAGAAGAGGTTTTGCCTTTGGCTTCATTTTCAGTAGAATCGGGAATCCATTCGCAGTGACATGTAAAATGGGGTGAAAATACCAGGAGATGCTGCAGTCCTGGGGTTCATTTCTGTACTGATGTTATCTGCAACTTACAAGGTGCTTGCTGCGAGTTGCAGATTAGACACATGCTTGCATCATCTGATTTGGGGATCTAGTCTGTATCTCTGTCCATCTCTTCCCCCCTGCCCCGTTCTCTTGACTCCACACCTCACCGGGGTGTTAGCAGACGGCATTCACTGAAGAGAAGACTGAAGAACAGCAGCACCCATAACTCTGTCTCCTTCCCTCTCTTGCAGGTGTTGTGGAAGCGTGCCTCCTGCACATGCTGAAGCGCAGGGCTGCCGGCTTCCTGCGGACTGACAAGGTGGCTGCGCTGTTCACCAAAGTTGGCAAGACGTACGCAATAGCTGGAGACATATGCAGGAAAGTGCAGGAACTGCAGCAGCAGGCAGAAGGCAGGTGAGGCTGAGGTCTTTCTATCAGCAAAGTTCACACGATGCGTGTGCAGCGTGGAGAGGATAAAGAGACTGCTTGGTAAATGTAAAGGGGTCTGTCTTGGCCACATTCGTTAAAGCTTTGTCTCTTTAAGGCAAATGTTTTTGTTTGATCAAGCTGACAGCTAGCAAAGAGGCAGAGGTTGGAAATCGGGTGGTTGGTGTTTTGTTTTGCTTCTCAGTATAGCGGATCAGCGCGTCCAGCCCACGCAAGGCAACAAAAGTGAATAATTGGTGATTTTAGAGAGTGCTCCCAGTGAGTGTATGGCAGACCAGTTTGGACTGTTGGTGGGAAGGGATGTGGGTGGCAAGAGGAACTGAAGAACAGACTTGCTGGAAAAGCTGTTCTGCCATGCTCCTTGCCAAACCAATAACAGAAGATTTGTGGGTATTATGGTAGAAATAGCTGAGTTAATGGATACAAAGAGTGTTAGGGAGAAGGAAGAACTCAAAAAGAGGAGGTCAGCAGTGAGAGACTGATTATGGGAAAGCAGTTAAGTACATGCTGGACTCGAGCACAACTGAATTTGTGCTGGAGTCAACCACTTGAGATTGCTGAAAGTCCTAAACTTCTTGCTAGTGGTGAGTAGCGCAATTAAAATTTTCCATGCGGTTCTGCTGACTGAAACACAGATGCATGAGCCTGTGGGACGAGTGTCTCGTATTGTAAACTCAGGACAGGAGATGTTGTCTTCTGTTTGTAGGCAGTAGTGCAGTGGCACTGCTAAGCCTTAAGAGGTCTTTGTACATTGTAAGAACCTTCAGCCTCTTGATCAACTTGCTGTTGAAGGGCTTTGTCAAGAGAGCTTGACTTCAATTTGTGTTGCATTGAAGTCTTCAGTTATTGACAGTTGTTTAAATTTGCACTTCTATTTACATTTCTGTGTAGTTTTCTGACATTTATTGTTATTAGACTTCTAAATACCTCAGTACATAGTTTTTAACAGACATACCCTATTTTGATATTTTTTTTAATTGTGTCCCTACTGATATAGACCGTGATTTTATTAGTTTTAGTTTTTTAAATGTTAGGAAGAAGGATGCTTTCTACTGAAAATTCCCCAGCCTTCCTCCTCAGTTAAGAGCCCACATGAACCCTACTGTAACCGCCAGGGACCTTTGGCTGTGTCCTCTAACAGAAAGGAGCAAATGAGCTTAAATTCTGTGGTTTCTCTTGGAGAAATTTTGTGTGGTTTTCAGCTATTAACAGCCACAGATTTTAAGTGCTGTAGAAAATATGCACAGCAAAGAGACTCTATTAGGAAATACTGCAGGGGGTGGACTTGCTTCATGGAACGTATAAAATGAGACACAAGAGCTGTAGCAGTGTAATTGCTCCTGAGGCTGTGGCTTAAGCAAGCCCCTGTTTAGGATACGATTAAACACATTTGAATTCCTCTGATGTTAGTGGTGTCGTGTATTTCTTGACTTGGGACTGTCACTGTGTGTGTGTTGCCTTGTAGAGGTTCTGTCATGGCCTAATGGAGGACTAGGGACTATGTAAGTGCATGTTGCTGCCTGTTAGATATTCGGTATGGAGCGGGGTTGTCATCTTGTCTTACATAATGAATGCCGCAGGCAAAGCTAGCGGGGAGGGAGGAAGGGAACACGAATTCACATTTCAGCTACTTTGCCTAGGCAGCAGGAAAGAGAAACGGAGAGAACAAACCCGTTTCCCTTTTTTTGGGCCACCTTTTAGAAACTGGAAAGCTCTAGGCAGCACATCCAGCTTCAAAATCAGTCTCTGGTTCCAAATCTGTTCAGGCCATTAATTATCTCTACAGTGACAAGTGATAATTTGTGTCAGTGCCACCAAAGAAGCGAAGGGAGCATTGTTGTCAGTATGACAATGTATTTTGGACACCAGTACTCAATGGATGAGAGGTGGATGCTCGCCATGGCAAGACACCCAGCGTGGATAAGAGCATGTGTGTTGTGCTGTGAAGGCACAAAACTGCTCCTTGGCACGATGCAAATGAACCACATGAAGCTGTGCAATGGCATGGCAGGAAGCATAGCGTGCTGGGGTCTACAGAGAAAAGAACCGTCCTGTCCATGTGGCAAAGCACCGTCCTGCAGCATGGCTGGGGCAACATGCCACTGTCCCTCACTGGGCTGGGGTCAAGTAGATTTTCTGGGCAGCAGATAGCTCCACAGAAAGGAGTGACAGCTTCCTGCGTGGTTCAGAAACCATCATGCTGAGCAGCCGCTGCCGTCTTGTTGAGAGCCGTGCTTGGGAAGTGATTCTGCTTTGTAAAGCCAGCTTGCCATCCTGCCACTGAAAGGCAGCGTTAAGCTCCCCATTTCTGAGGGAACCTGTTGCTGTGCTGGCTTATGGTGTAGGAACAAGCAGGGGGTCTTCGCCACAAGCAGGCTCCCAGCTGGCTTTGGATGCTCATTTGCTATAGTTCTAGCTTCTCAGTTTGATGTCGCTTATCTCCTAGTTGTCTTGTTGTCATTCTGTAGGTGGTAGGAGATAGGATCTCACTGCCAAGACACCAGCACAGACTGTGCTATAGCTATATATGGTGCTTTACAGAGAGAATGAAAAGATGGGCCGGTGCCCGAGGATTGTCTATGGCAGGAGGTCCCTGGAAAAGCTCTGCCTGTGTTATCTCAATCCTGCTCATTGCTTCTGGTCTCAGTGGGAATACCTGATGCTGAAACAGCTGCGTGTCTTCTTGGGGTGGTGGCTAGCCTCTCCCAGAGAAAGCTGGGGGACAAGAATCATCTTTTTACCATCTTCCCTGTGGCTTTCCCAACTAAGCGTGAAGCTCTGTGTGATAAGAAGCAAACTTCTGTTCATCAGGTGCAACTTATTTTCTGCTACACCTTGCTTTTTTTTTTTTTTCCATTCTTTTGGGGTGTATGGTCTGCAATGGATTTACACCCTATTCCTTTCAGCCTGGTCTGTGAGTGTTTTGGAGGAGCTCAAATGTTGGGCTTTTCCTAAAGCTCGAGAAGCGGAGAAGGTATTTTTGGTGGGTGACTACCTAGTCCAAGATACCTAATACAGCCCTGTCTGGGAGCTTTGGAGGCTTTTTTAGAGCTTGTTTAACATCTGTCTGTGAATTAGATAATCCTTACAGACTTACGCTGTTTGTAACTCAGAACAGAGACATCCTAAATCATAAGTTAGAGCCATAATTTTCAGAAAATCCCTGATGATGGGCTGACTAAAACTCCACACCCCAGTGGTAGTGAGTGCTAGTGCAGTAAAGTAGCCAGCTAGTATACAGATACACATTTGTCAGATACGTGCTGTGTATTCCAACACCTCTCCACGCAGTCTTTCACTGGAGAGCTTTCTGTGAGAAGAGTCTGAGTTCTGACTACTTTTACTTTATTTCCTTTTGCAGGAAAAATCAGCCAAATGGGCAGGAACCCCTCAAGAGGCAGGGATCAACCACAAGCAAAACACCTGTCCTGACGCCTCAGGCCATCAAACACATCTGGGTTCGGACAGCATTGATTGAGAAAGTGCTCGACAAGATCGTGCAGTATATTGTTGATAACTGCAGGTAAGGAAAAAATCGGAAGCGCAGGGACTTGGTGGACTGATGTGTTTAGGTATCTGCAGCAAGGGATTTAATCAAAAGTCTTCTTCAAACTTCTGGTAGGAAGAAAACCAGATACACAGACATTTCAAAGAAATTGTACTTTTGTTTAGAACCATTGACATGTTTCAGACTTACAAAAAATGTTAAGAGCCGTACAGCTTTCCAGAAATCGGCTAAAAAACTAACTTGCGGTTTATTAAGGACTTCTTTTAATTTTTTCTAAAGTTGGCAATATTGAACAGTGCTCCCATAAAGAGTGATGCATTCAGAAGCATGTGAAGCCCTGATCTTTTCCATTCGCTTAGGCACCAGTAGATATTAGGCACCCAAATTCTAATGGGACCTAGACCTCAGCGACTTAGTGGAATAGAAATGTCTCCTAATAGGTCAGGAGTGCTTAATTCACTTACATTGGTTAAAAATAATCCTTTGAAATTTTAGGATATCAGGGAAGAAAATGCCCTTTGTAGATAAAAGAAGCAGAATTGAGTTTACAACAGGAGGAGTTAACAATATAAACCCTTGGGGCTGTGAAAAAAGGTTTTTTAATCATGTTTCCTTTTTAGAAAATTCAAGTTTTGTGTAAAGTGAATCTTCCCTTGCAAAACCAGCAAAGACTATGGATGCAATCCGCAGGGACTCTTTAAGAGGAAAAGACAAGTCCTCTCTGTTCTATGACATATTCAATCATCTCTGCCTACTGTCACACATTAGCTTTGGTTTCCCAAGAGGTGGTTCTTAACTCTACCCTTTGTGCCTTCCTACCCTCCCATAACTGATAAAGAAGAATTAAGGGGCACACTGGGAACAGCTTCCCACAAGAAGAGAAAGGTAGGAACCCTAAAGCTTGATATGGTCCCAGAAAAGTAAATCTGTCCCTGCTGCCATTGCAATTTGTTCGCAGTGGTGCTCTTGTAATTCTGCACTGGGAGGACATGTTCTTGGCTGCCCAAAGCCCATGGATCTGAACAAGGAAGAGAGCTAGGGCAGAAGAACATATTCACTTAGAGAATAAAACGAACCTCTTTCATATGAGGCTTGTTCTCGTGCATTTTTTGTGACATTACTGCTCAAATGCTCCATGTTTAAGTCCTTCAGCTCTTCAGTTCTTGAGGAAGAGAAGATGGTTTAGAGTTTGAGCCCCATCTAGTGGAAGAGATGGCAGAGGATAATGACAGTTGAAGAAATTTGGGTGTTTTGATTTTTCGGCTATGTGGTTTTATAAGTCAGCTTTGCCTGCTGTGATGGGAAGACTTTGGGGTCATTGCAAAAGCTACTATTTGTAGTAGTTCGTTGTTCTTGACAGTGTTTCAAAATTATTCCTCACAGATGGAAGAGATGTTTAAGAATGTGTGGATCTCTTGGTCTCTGTGGAAAACTGACAAAATTGCTTGCAGAGAGTTATTGTTTGTCTTCATATTGCATCAGTGCCCAAAGCCCCAAATCAAATATACTGGGTAAACACATTTAGCAAAAGGCAAGCTCCTGCCTCTCGAGAGCTCAGTTTGAAAACAGATGGGGCAGAATGAGCGTACTGAGAGGAAGTGACTTGCCTGAGATCACAGGGGCAGAATATGGATCCAAAGTAGGGGTGGTGGTCATCTTGTTAAATATAGAAGTGCAGGTTGATTGAACTGGCTGTTTTAGGCTCCCTTTATGCTCCAAGGAGGTCTAGGTAACATTATTGATATAGCTTAGGAAATGATCTAATTCTAAAGCAGAGATGTCTAAAATAGGACAGATTAATTTCTCCATAGCTTTCTTAGGATATATTCTAATGATCTTTAAAAATAGTTCAGGACACACCATGTTGTAGAAGCCTTCTTTACCTGCAAACCCAACACAACATTTCTTCTTTACGTGATCAGGAGGTGAGCCAGTTAAGCTCCATTACAGCTTTTAGAGGAGATACATGCATCGGTGATTTCTAGGTAATCCTAGCAACTGCTTTTCCTCTACCCATCAGGTTCAGAAAATACATGGAGTTTGGATCCCCTTGGTCCTGTCTCTGGCCTATTGTGTGAGAGAGTCTATTTGATAATCATAGCAAAATTCTGTTGCTGGAATTTTTGTGTTGGAACTGTAAGCTTTGAAAATGTGTTCTGCCTCACTATGTGCACAGCCTAGATCCTGTTTTCAGCCTTGGGAAAATTCTTAGAACCTAAACTCTTAAATCTTCCCTTTTATACGGGTAATTTAATTGTCTGACTTTGCTCTTGAAATGAGTGTTTGGCCTCAGTTTTTGTTAAGTATGAAGTCTGACCTGGGATGTGACTTCAGTGGTCACGCTTCCCCCTGCACACGCGGTCGACTTCCCCTGGACTACTGGGGGGCCCACAGCAAATGGTGAAGGAATTGTCAGGTCAATAGCAGCCTGCCCAGCTTCTCTGTCCTTATCTCCTCTGCTTCCTTTGGCATGCTTTCTGGTAAGCAGTAACATGATATTTGTAAAGTCAATGGACTCATGCTATTAGGAGGCATAAGAGCTTTTAAAAATAACAGCCAGTGTTTTTAACTGGACTCTGATCTTTTATTCCTAGTAAATATTATGAAAAAGAAGCTTTACTGGCAGATCCTGTTTGTGGCCCAATACTGGCTTCTCTCCTAGGTAAGTTCTTGCAAAGTTACTTCTTAAGCGAAAGAAAATAAATTGTTTCTTAAAATATTTTGTATTATGATAGTATTTATAATAGAGCAACGTAGATGATGTTGTTTTGTTGCGTCTTGAGACCAGTCATCTATTTTTATTATTAATTATTAGTTGTATCAGAGAACAGAATGGGAATGGCTTTTTACTGGATGCTTGCTAGCAGATCATAACTACTAATCCTGCTGTGGCAGGGTATTGTGTCTTACAGGAATATTTTTATGCAGCCGTAGGTAATAGGACCTGATACGTTATTCTGTGTATTGTCTATGTTATGGGTTGATCCTGTAGGATCATTAAGTGATCATTAATATGCATTTTGCTTGACAAGGAAATCTCACTTTCGGTACTTGGCCAGCAGGATAAGATTAAGTATGTATCTGAACAGACTCAGAAGGTTTCTCTCTTGCGCTCTTTTCCTAGTTGGACCATGTGCTCTGGAGTACACCAAGCTAAAAACAGCTGATCACTACTGGACAGACCCTTCGGCAGATGAGCTTGTTCAGCGACACCGGATTCATGGAGTACACGGCCGCCAAGACTCTCCTTCGAAGCGCCCAGCCCTGGGAGTAGGTATTTACTGCGTAGCTACTCCTGAGTTAAGGCACAGGTTGACAAAAACAACCCCAGGAGGGAGAGATCTGAATTTAGAACAACCTTTCTTTTCTCTTCTGTAATGAAGCTTTTATCACAGACTAAAGGCCATTTGGGCCCAAATGTCCTCTGTATCTGTATGTAGAAAAGTTTGAGATCCAGGACTAAGTTCTGTGACTTTTGACACTCGTGATCAGACCAGGTAGTACACAAGAAATTATGAGCTGCCTTGGTCAGAGTCCAGGTCATTGCTCTGCAAGGTCCCCTGGCTCTGGAAAGAAGTTCTACTCTACAGAGATGGGTCTCAACTGAACTGTTCCTGTTTTATTGGCCTGCTGGTACAGTCATTCCCGTCCTACCTGATCTGCCTTGACTGTTTGTGTGTGTGCTAGATCCGGAAACGGCACTCAAGTGGGAGCACGTCAGAAGATCGCTTTGCTGCTTCGGCAAGAGAGTATGTGGAGTCTTTGCACCAGAATTCCCGGACACACCTCTTGTACGGGAAAAACAACGTCTTAGTCCAGCCGGTGAGTACGTTGAGTTTTGGGCCAATGCACATAGCTGCTGCCTGGCCAACTTGAGAAGTCAGTAGTATAGGTAAGAAAATAGTCTAGGCTTGTCAAGTACTCACTTAATGTCTTGTCCTCAGGACAGTGCTGCCTTCCCACTTGACTCTGTTATGCTGAGGTAGATTAAGACATGACAAATGCTTTCACTGCCTGACCAATGTGAACTGTGAAGTGGGCATATAGGTAGGAACAGACATTCTGGACTGTATTTCATAAACCCAGTGACTGTACTGTTTCTAATAGCAGTACTAAATACCGGTGCTTTTGGTGTTAAGGTTTCCCTCAGCAGTTCCCAGATGACGCACTTCTGCGCAACTTGTGGGGCGTAGGAAGAGTGGAACGTGACAAGTATAGCTGTGCACTTGAGTCACCTGGGTTGTCTCTGTCTTGCTTCTGTGAACAGAAAGATGACTTGGAGGCAATTCCTGGGTATCTCTCCCTTCATCAGTCAGCAGATAGTTTGACTTTAAAATGGACTCCAAATCAGCTGATGAATGGAACCCTTGGAGATTCAGAGCTGGAGAAAAGGTAAGTTATTGCGTTCAGGAAAAGATCAGAAACATTCATGATGTTTATTTCTTGTATACTTGGCAATGTGACATAAGTGTAACAAGGCTGATTTAATTGAAAGGCTTCTGAATAGTGCAAAAATTGAGGTTTCAGGCAGCTCGGGTTCTGTTCCTGTTTTGCCACAACTTTCCAAATGTCCTGTAATGCACTTGTATATGAGGCCTTTTCAAAAGGAAAACAAAACCCCACTTTTCCAGGTGTTTGGGAGAAAAGGCTCAACACTACCTTCTATTATTACAATTCTAGTACCTCCCTTCACAGGGTCACAAATCATTTCACAAGTATGGCTAATTGCAACCTCAAAAAAAGAGACCTGCAATGTCATTAGATCAGTTATTCACCTAATTTGGCATTCTGCTTCAGTGGAAAGACAGGTAAAGTCTTGAACCAGGCAGGTATGTCTCCTCAGGGAATGGTTCCTTCAACCCCAGAACAGTGCTCTCGAATGCTTAATCCACTCCATTCTTTATCTAAAACTTCATGTGTATTTTTTAACAGAACACTAGTGAAGCCCTCTACCCTTGCTTTTATTGCTAAACTCTGTCAAGGTTGTTCTCAGAAGGGTTCGGAGCTGTTTCCAGTGTTTAATCTGTAAGCTTGAGCCCCAATGGATTTACGTGCTGCTGCCCATGAACCACATGTGCGAGACAGAACTGAACCTGGCTGTCCTGAAACCCAGCTACAAGACCATAGTGAAGTCTGTGCCCCAGGCACTTTAATCTCAGCCAGAGCACTGCTGTAACCTGGTGTGGGGCGGTGGGGTGGGCGGAAGGGGAAGAGGGAAAGGGAGGTTATGGAATGACTGGTGCCAGATGTAGCCACTGTGGAGAACTGGTTCCTTCGCCTTCTACTTGACTATTAATTTACCTTAATTGACCAAATTTACTAAGCAGTTATTAACTTAGCAGAGTCTTTTTATTGGGTGCTTGGAACCGCAAGCACTCCTGAGTATGGGGGGAAAAAAAAAATGTTTCCTGCACTTTTTCCTTTCCTATTAGTGTTTACTGGGACTACGCATTAATAGTGCCACTCAGCCAGATCGTCTGCATTCACTGCCATCAGCAACGTAAGCATAAACCTTCTTCTCATGGGGGCGCTCCCACAGCCCCTTTCTGCCAGGTGAATGTTATTGCTGCTAATGCTGCTACCATTTTATGTGGTGCCTGTTAGGGGTTTATTGCAAAAGGAGGCAGACCATTTTTCTTCTTCAGATGTCTTCACTGAAAGGCCTGGTAAGAACTCCTCTGCCTAACACTGCTCCAGTTGTCAATTGCTTTCTGTGTTCTTTGTTTTTTCTGTGTGCTTTGTTTTTTCTGAGTCATCTGTGCAGAACAGCACTTACAGGAAACTGTCAGTGGCAGGTATTAAACATAGAAGCTTTGGCTTTATTAAGCATGACCCTCCATCCATTGACCATTCAAGAAAGGAGAGGGGGGGAAAAAAAAGCAGGTCTCTCAATCACATCTATAGTGGGATCATTGATGGGTGGAGAGGGCGTGCGTGTAACCAGAGCCACCATCTGACCATCCAGTTCTCAGTAGCCCACTTGGCTCAGTGTAGGGAGAGGAATCTGGAACAAAACATCTCTCCAACTGCTTTTCTTTACTGTAAGCCTTAAGTCAAAATCACAGAGCAAAGACAAAGAACATGTAGAAATTTTGTTTGGAGTCAGATTTGAGTTACAGTTGGACAAAGGGACCTTTTGAACTGAGAGTCTGTTTTAGAAGACAATTTATGTATATTACTTTAAAATACATAGGCAGGAGAGCCACTTGAGTGATCACTTTTCCTCCCTCAGTGTCATTAACACTTCTAATAAGTTAGACGTATGGGGATGAGTGTTGAAATCAGGAACCCTAGCTGGTAGATGACGGTTGTAACGTTAGTTCAGGTCCATCTGCCTCACTTCAGCCAGCTTCCCCGGGATGCTTGGTGCCTGTCCAGTATTTCACTGACCGGTCAGCTGCATCACCGCTCTGCTTTGCAGCAGTTCCTTAGGAGAAGAGGAATTCAATGACAGGCGTGAAACATGACAGCCTTTCTTGTTCTTCATGGAGAAAGCTGTTTCAGTCATAGGTGCCAGGCATATACACAACATGATTTGTGCTGTTTGCACAAGATGACAGACACTTGGTGGTCCTGCCATGGCACCTAGCTACCAGACTGGAACTTGCACAGCCATGCTGCGGAACGCATCCTGCTCTTAGAGATCCCCCTTTACCCACGTGGCTCCAGGTGCCTCATTCATTCAGTTTTGGAAAAGGAAATTAAGAACAAGGTGCAGATTATTATGCTTAAAAGAGTATCCAGAGCCCAGGCTGGTTTTCCTTATTTGTGCTAAATTTCTAGTGACACTGAAGATAGATGAGAAAACTTTACAACAGGGAATGTGACTTGCTAATTCTCACAAGAATAAAGCTGACAGCCTCTGGTTGTATCCATTAGGTTTGCTTTCATTCTGAATCATGTGTCCTTCGTCAAGTTACGTCATACACCAGAGACTTAGTTTAGTTATTCCTTTATTATTTATTATTTTAGTGTTCAGAATCACTTTAAATGTTTCTGCATGAGGCCTGTTATAGTTTGCTTGTATCTTGAGCTTCTATAGGACCATCCCTAGATCACACTGTTACTTAGAGGTTTATTTATCTACTTAGAGATGATCACAAATAAAATTTACTTAGAAGGTAAGAGCGAAAAACAGAGGTTCTGATGTAACAGTGTGGACTCCCCTTGTCCTCCTTTGCAGCAGAAAGCAGATGGACGTTAGTCTTGGTGAGTCAGGATGGAACTCAGAGACCTCCGCTGCACTTCCCTCAAGGAGGTCACCTCCTCGCCTTTCTTTCCTGTCTGGAAAATGGTCTTCTGCCTCGTGGTCAGCTGGAACCACCACTTTGGTCCCAACAGGGCAAGGTACCGCCTTTTCTGATGAGCTGCTTGTAGTAGGTAGGGCTGATCTTAATGTCTTTGTTCAACCAGCATCCTGCTCCATAGAGTCTGGGCATTGATTTCCAGCTGCTTTATAGTAAAGTGGGAGGCAAAGTAACTCCATTTAGTACAATTTGATTCTTATACAGATACTCTATAAAAATTGTTCCTACCTTCATTACCCCATTGAGCAATGAACTGGAATCTGCTATTGTATCAAAGTACGAACCCAAATGATAGGGACCAAGACTCAAATGGACTGGGACGTACTTGCTGACAGAGGCTTGGATTATTAAAGAAGCTGGTGCCCAACTCCCATGGATTACAAGAAAAAGCTGCGGTTTAAGTACACAGAAAAGTTGTCTTAAGTACCCCTAAACCACCCGCTCCATATGATTCTACTGTTGTTTTCTCCCTCACCTCCTCCCAGCATTGGAAGCTTCGTTTTAAGATTTAATATGCCAAAGGTCTAAAGTATTTAGTTGGTTGTGCTCTGTTAGTCTCGTAGCTGAATGTATGGAATCCTTATTTTCTCTAGGGTAAGGTATTTCCAAAGCTTCGAAAACGGAACAGCAACAAATCAGTGGACCTAGAGGAAATGCAAGCTGAAGACACTTCTACAGACTATGTGTTCAGAATTATCTATCCAGGACACAAGCATGATAACAGTAAGTGCCTTTTTTCTGCTTTGTTAAAACAAACAAACAAACAAAAAACAAACCAAAACAAAACCCTAGAAGTAATATCCTGGGAAGTAACTGAAGGTAACAGACAAGCCAGGCTTTTGTGGGGGGGAAGAAAAAACCTATCACAAAATTTCATTGTGTGATAATTGTGATCAACAGGTACAGCTTACTGTAAGTTTCCTTAACGCAGTGAAACTTGTTATCTTAGTGGAAATGGAGTTGAGGTGGGGAATCTTATTAATATTTACTCTGTGTTTTGCAGAGGAAGTTTTCAAAATACTCCCCTGGGCTTGCAAACAGAGACTAAAAGCAAAAAGCTTGCTTGACTAGCCAAGAGCAGTTTTGCTCCCGAAGTGAGGAGGATATTGTTATTGGCCACACTGCTTGCTCATAATGTTGTTATTAGAAAAAAAACCCCATAAACTCAACTCTTAAAGTACCCCAAGAACTCCCTGGGCTAAGTTTTCCTGGCTTGGAAGCAAGAACTTAACAACGGGTAAATAAAGGCCCTTCCAAGGAAACTAAATGAATTCCCAAGCACCAAACCACCTCATGTCATCAGTGAATACAAATTCCTTAGATGCAAGAAGGCATTTGAGCTGGGTCTCAAACGGCATGTTCGGTTTTATTCCCCTTGGCAAAGACGCAAGAATTTCCCAGGAAGATCAGGCCCTAAAGTTTACAGGGGATTTGGATTTACTGCTCCTATTGGGACTTACTGCAGCTGAAAAAAGCAGAAATCTCAGCTGAACCCTCCTTACCCCAGGGGACTGAACCACAGTGGTGGCCATGCTTTATTAGGGCTTCTGGATTTGCACAGGTAAGTTCACACACACACCAGCAAAAGCATGTTCTGCCTTTGCCTGAATGAAGGGGACTGCAGATTCTGTGGGCACATTCAGTGCAGACCTGCCTGTTGAGTGCAAGACAGCGGGCTGGCTCCTGCCCTGGGCTTCCTTAGGAGGAGGCCTCTGCCTCGCATGTTCGCAGCGCCAGACAGGGCTGGGGAGCAGAGGAGCAGAACGTTTGCTGTCCAGATGCATCTGGCACAGGTTTCAGAGTCGAAAAGAGGCCACAGCATTGATAAGGGCATGGTGAAGGAGAGAAGCTAGTTGGAGCCTAGAATTCCCATGGAGTTTTTTGCTAAAAAGCATACGCACCTACTGCAGGCTGGCATTGGGACCTTTCTCCATTGCCATGATGTGACATGTGTGCTCTGGGAACGCAGCCTGTGCACAGTCAAAAGCTGGCCTGTGTTTGGTGGAGCATGCTTTTTTTCTGTAAGAAACTCATTTTTCATACCCATTTACAGGAGCTTCTGCCCTCAGGAAGAGGGCAGGATTCAAGTCCTTTGTCTTTGCTGAACATGTCCTTTTGAGCTTTCCCGCAGAGTTGAGTTCTCTCTTCTTATGCTCCTCTTTCACTATTTTCTTTGAGCAGTAACTATTAACTACCACCACTTAGCTGCCAGCCGCTCTGCCTCTGTTGACGATGATGAGGAGGAGGAAGATAAGCTACACGCAATGCTATCAATGATCTGCTCTCGGAACCTCACAGCTCCTAATAGGATGAAAGGTTTTTATCCTCCTCCCCCTGTGTCCCAGAGCTCTATTGCAGCTCGTTCCACTGATGCGTACAACAGTGTTGGCATTAATTACAGGGAAAAACATTTCACTCACACCATGAGATCTGGAGGTTAACCTGACTGTGCAGAGAGGCTGGGAATGTGCTCAAAACCTATGGGAAGTGAAAACAACAGCATCTTCCCTCTCCTTTGAGCGTGTGTGCTGCTGAACAGACAAACCTTCTCTCCATCTGGAGGCTTCCTGCCCCGCCTTCATAAAAGCTGGATACTAGAGCGTGTTCTCACAAGAGGAGGAGGGAGTATAACAGGTCTTTGTGTTCTCCCTCTGTGAGCTAGTCGTGTACAGACTGGGGAGGGCCGCCTTGTATAGGAAGGATCAGAGGTGAACCATTACAGCAGTGGCCGTGATGTGCTGGGCAAAGTCAGAAATGGAGTGTGCCTGTGTAGGCGGAATAGGGCAGAAGTGTAGTGAGTTACAGGTTCAGCCCAGGGATGGGTCACATATGCATGCTCCCACGCTGGACACCTCTGTAAGGTAGCAGAAGTGTGCAGAGAAGATTGTATGGAGATGCAGTACCTTTCTGTGGTCGGGTGCTTTCATTCCACTTCTTGCATTCATAGGTGAGGTGGGTTTCAGATGATCACCTGCAAGATTCTCCACCCTCCAAAAATTTGTCATCTAATTCTTTTCCTAAAGCCATTCATAACAGTTGTACTAAGTTGGTATTCTCAAGAAGTGTATGTACTGGCAAGCATTCAGGATCCAGCAGTGTATTTCTGGAGGCTGAGAAGTCCTTGCTTTCTCAAAGGAGGAAGCTGAACGGTGGACAAAATATTCCATTCCCTAGGCCAACCTGCTCCTGCACAGCTTGGCTTCTAAGGCTCGCAGTTGTTCAGAAGACAGGCAGGTGTTGAGGCCTCTCCACTACTTCATGTGAAATCTCTCCCCCCTCTAGGCTTACCAGTTACTGCACAGCTTCGATACTGCCAGACTTTTGGCCTTGGTACCTTTTGAGTGCATGTGCCAAACCTGGCATGCTCCTGTTGTAACCAAAACAGCCACCTCCACCTCTTCCTAATAACGGGAGTATATCAGCAAGAACAGAATCTTCTCTTGTTATCAGGCTGTAAAGTAGCTGTCAAAAGTTTGACATCTGTAGAGGCAGTAGGAAGGAGGGCAACTGCTTGCAAGTTCGGCTCTTGTCTGTGTTTTTCATTCATTTCGTTAGCATGAACGTGCTTTTTCTGGTATTTCTGTGTTCTAAGAAAAACGCATTGTATCTTGATTCCAGAGAAGACACTCCTACCTTTAAATAGCGGAGCAGTGATTTTGGTTCCAAATGGATGGTAGCCCTGGTCTGGTGGGACTGACTGCAGGAGACAGTAATTGCCCTGCATCTCTGTATAGTGCTTAAGTTCTGTTTAGATAGGTATGAACATGTGTTCAAAGAGAGTCTCCTCATTTGCCCACACGCTTATCCCAAGGTAGTAGCCCCTAGAAACTGATAAAGCCCAGCCCAAGTTAATAAAGAGTTCTTGGAAGGCATGGATGGAAAGAAACTCCAAAAATGCAGCACTCCCCTTGCAAAAAAGATAGTGTTTCGGGAAGTTCCTGTGCGTCTTAACTGATCGTGTCTGTATATGGGTGACAACGGAAAGGAAGGTCTAACACTGCCTCATATACATGTGAAGAGGCTACCGCTGTGATCTAAAGCGTAAGAAACACAATTGAGTCTTTAGTCAGGTGATGGAAATTGTAAGCCGTTCCTCTAGAACGGCTGTCAGGTACCTGCTTGTGCTTACCTAATCTTGAAGGTAAGGGTAGCGTTAGGGACATGTCTGCTGTCCGAGTAGTGGTTCTTGCTGAACTAGACTGGCCTGGCTGTTGTCTCTCCAGCAGCATCCCTTTTAAATAATGACAACACTATTGTAGCAGGTTTGCTAGCCATTTGCTTTTACATTTTGCAACATGCTCGACTTTTGCATGTAGCTGAAGTTACAGATGACACCACTACAATTAAATAAAAGATGCTGTTCACTCTAATTCTTCACTAATTCAGGTACCTTTCATCTGAATCTTTAGGTTCTGTGGGGTTCTTTCCTTGTTTCTCTAAAAAATAAAATAAAAAATTAAAACTGAAAAACCCACTTTTCTTGTCTGTAGAGGGGAGGCAAAAAATAATGATCTAAAAATGTTTGTCCAGTGGTTTTTATTTGAACCCAATAAGAAGCTGCAATAAATACTGGGTCATTCAGCTCCTTCCTGAAGAATTAAGGTGAAGAGCATTTTTGCATCACACTTTGTTTTGTGAAATGAAATACACATGACTGCTTCCGCATGAGCCTGTGCTTTTTCTGTTAACAAATGTTTTTACTCCACTCCTTCCTCACCTATGCCCACTTTCTAATAGGCACTACTAAAATGCTTTATGCTACCTTGATTGAAAATGCATGAGATGGTTTGGAATTGCCCCTACCACCACCCAACAAATGTGTTTTAAAAGCACGGCCCAGGGGACTGGATTTTGCTTACAAATGTTAATTCAGTGACATACAGTATTACGGCATTTGCCTTAATTTTACTCACGGGTGAGCTGAAAGGCCAGTTATTTATTATAAAACAAAAAACCCACAAGCTCAAATGCCAGCTGGGAAAGTTGAAGAGCTGAAGCCAAGCTTTCTGAAGGCAACTGGTGATTTTTTTGAGGTTGCCTTCCTGAAGCTGGTTTAAAAAGGCAAATGGATTTGGTGGAGCAGGGATAACTCAAGAAGCTGCACTGTACTGTTGGATCACATTTTCCTGCAGAGTATCCTACTTCTATAAACACAGTGTTGACATTAGTAGGACTTGAACTATCCTTCTGCGCTAAATATTTTAGGATCTGGTTCCGAGGGGAAAAGAAGCATCTTCCGAAAATAACTGATTCAGTTTGTCTTAATTTCTTCTATGCTCACACTTTGACCCTAGCTGGACTAGCAGTTACATGGCTGATCCCAGGGACTGCAAAATGAAATTCCGGTACCTGAATTAAACAGAAGTTCAGGTTAGATGATCTCTTCTGGCCATGAATAACATTACCATAGCATTACACAAGAACCAGTTTCAGAGGTTACTGCAGCACCCTTTTCTCTATTCTCTTGAAACATGAACTGCAATGTGCATGGGCAAGAAAGGGGGAAATGGTGAAGGGATTTGACTTGATGGGAAGTGACCGTGCACAGCATGCAGCTGGTTTAGACGTGCCGAGAGCTGTATTTCTGAGGTCCCTAGGATGGTGCTCTCCCCTTTTTGGAATCAAGGTTCAGAGCCTGCTGAGAAGTAAAGCATGAAGCCATCAGGATGCACAGAAGGAAGAGGGGGAAAGAAGAAAAAAGGTTGATGGCCTGCTGTTTTGTTTGGGTTTTTTCTCTAGACACCAGCGAAATGATAGAGATGCAAGGCTTTGGGGCAAACCTGCTTTCGTGGCAGCTGGAGCACTGCAGCCAAGGATCCTCCTGTGTCTCCTGTTCAACAGGCAGCTCTCCCTACGATATACCCAGCTGTTGCAACTGCATCCACGATAGGTAAGCGAGTTCTGCAGAGCTTACCTGGGAGACCTTGTGCATGCCACAGTTAAAAGCAGGAAGGTTTTATTGGTTGCAGCACCGGAGACAGACAGTAACAATTTTCAGGTAGTTTCTAACATAAAAATATGGAGGTATACAGCAAGAAATTTATTAAAACTAACCTATTAAACTACTCTTGAGTTACATTTTTATGGAAAAAATGCATCTAGTTCTTTTGACTAGTTTAATATAATTCAGCTCTGAAAGCATTTTCTTGAACAAGTCATTAATAATTACAGTGAAGGACAACAATTCATCTAATTTGACACAGACCTCTGCAATGCACCTGTGGTAGTTGTAGCTAAGTGTGCCAGGTGAATCTAGTTTGGTCCAAAATGCTGGTGGGGAAAATGCTTCAAAAAGTGTAATTTGTCATTACTGTTGTCCTTGAGCTAAACACATCTTGGTGCAGAGAAAGAATTTCTGCCTGCACGTCATAGGGAATAGCATAAAATTCATGACGATCTCTGTCATCACGTCTCACCACGTTCTGTTCATGTGTCTCCACAGAACTCCGTTAAAGATGTTGTGTGAAAGCATGAAGAGGCAAATAGTTTCCAGAGCCTTTTATGGATGTAAGTGAAGCTTCCTGTATCCAGCCCTTGTGGTATCCATATGCTTATCTAAAAATCATGCCATGTTTGGTTTAGAAAGCAGTCCAAACCCAAGCTTACTGTTGTGAGTTAGATCACCTCAGGGCAGTAGGGTGGATGTGACTCAAGTATCATAGCTCCGTAATTCCATTATCTGTGGGGTTTGCATATAGCAGTGGGCAAACCAATGCTTAGTGAAGACAGAATGTAGTTTTACATCGCAGTGTCATACTTGGGTTTTATTAGGCTTTAAGATTTATTTAATCTTTGGCTCTGTTGCATTTCTTTGTTCTTACACGGTACAATGCAAGTTTAGTTCATGTATGGTTATTAGTGACAGGTTTAAAATGTCACAGCTTCATCTTCAAAAAGGGGCTGCTGATATTAGGGAGATTGTTCATTTTACAGAAGTTTTACCTCCTGCCCCAACCACAGGGCTTGCCTACTGCCGCCATTTGTCAACAGTGCGAACCCATCTGTCCGCCCTCGTGAACCACACCATCATCCCACCTGACAAACCATCCAGCGCCACAGGAGGCCTGACTAAAGAGGTTTGGAGCAAGTATCAGAAGGACAAGAAGGTAAGTAACAGAATACCTTTATGATCATTAATTAAGCCAGCTCCCCTGCGCTGCTGCATTGAGTGTGGTATCCCTTAGAACTGCCCCCAGGAAGTATTGAAGGCGTTTTCTAGTCTTTGCAGGATCACTCTGCTCTCTAGTGAGAGTGAGTAGATTCTTAAAATCTCTTCTATCCTTTGCATCTCTGATGATGGCAAAGATATCAATTAACATCAAAGCAACTGATCTCATGACTCCTTTAGTCTCTTAGAAGTTAGATTATTTTCATGAGAGGCATGACAACTTATATTAGACTGGATTTGAGCTGGGGTCCTGAAGGCATGCACCAAGGTCCAAAACCTGTTTAGTGCCATGCACGCATTTCACTGTCTTTATACTTGGTATTCAGTGTGTATGAGCATGCCTGAGGAAAAGAAAGATGCATTACCTGCAATATCTTTCTCCTGACTGCTGTAGAATTACAAGGAACTGGAATTACTAAGAAGAGTTTACTACGGTGGGGTACAGCACGAGATTCGGAAGGAAGTGTGGCCGTTCTTGTTAGGTCACTACAAATTTGGCATGGCCAAAAAGGAAATGGACCAGGTAAGCACAGCTTTCCGGGGATTTGAATTACGTTTGCAGAATGGGTTTTGTTTTCTGAATAGGAAGTGTTAAGTCTTTATTATTGTTTAATATTCCTAAGGGAAAAAAGCTACTGAAAACCTGAGTGACACGTGGTAGTAGAGGGATTATGATATCATATTAGCGTGTCTGAAAATCACTAAAAGGGAGTTCTTTGTTGTATTCAGGAAACCCACATTCAGCCTCTGCCTGTGACATGCACTTGCTCCAAGCAAATCCTGTTTGTGACAAATTTGTTGCTTCTAAAATGGGGAGACCTTGATTTGGATAGTAATTTGAGTCATCCCTCTTCTATACGGTGTGTTGGCTGAGTTACATTTCAATGTTCTGTTCTTTGAAATGACTGCTTTATCTACGTGATACTGCAGCTGCACGTGTGGAATTCTGTTGGAGCTGGGAAGGGCCCAGATGTGCCTTCTGAAGCGCACTTGGTGTTACTGTCTAGAGGCTAAAAATACCCAGAGGAAGGTTTGATTAATACGTTCGTTATGCTTTTGCTAGGCTTAAATAAGACGTGCCTTTGTAAAACACAAGGTGCAATTTCAGATGAGACGTTATTCCTCTTAATATCTCCCATGCTGCTGCTAACATTGATCAGTGAATAATTGCCTAGGTTATGTCACAGCCTTATTTCACAGTCTGAAACTTGGCATGAAGTATAGAGTTTCCATTAATGAAACCACAGTTTGCCCATCCCTTAGTCATATTATCTCCCTTTGCTAATCTGTTTATAGAAATACCAACTTTTTACTTTGCTGAGTGCTTTGATTTGTTGTAATTACTGGGCAAGTGCCTTGATAATAAACCAGGCTGGTAACAAACAGATAGAGCTGAGCAAAATGTCAGACAGTCGTGCCTTCACTCAGCTACGCTTACTGAACAGAAACTGGATGCAGTCCTAAGCCAGAGGGCTGAGAAAGTACAGCAGTACAGCGCTTCCTTACTGCTGTGTGCTTTCCGTAAGCGTCTGCTAGGCTACACCAGCCTTTGATCCAATGTAGCTGCTGTT